CTTCTCCCTCCTCCTCCTCCTCCTCCTCCTCCTGCCCCTACTCCTCCTCCATGACCGTCTTCATTCGATCTCCATCTCAGGGGCAGGTACGTTTATGTAAACACAGGGTACATATACTTTGGGTTAGGGTTAGACCCCCCCCCCCTGGTACAAATCCTGCACACGCCCCTGATTATATAGATAGATATCGATGTGCACCTCTCACTTTGTTTGTTGGGTTGCGTCTATGGTTGCATCGTGATTATTGTATCTAGGACCTATAGGTCAGTTGATGCGCTGCAAAATATACGCGCTGGGAACTCACTGCTCAGAAGGTTGAGCACTCGGCTCCGTCAGTCGATGCATGGTAGTCATATTAACTAAAGATTATCATTTGATATTTGTCGTTTAAGGTTGAAGATGAAGCCGTGGATCCGGAAGAAACATTACTCCACTACCTTCGTGACAAGTGTATCCAAGTTAGAACGATTGTGAACAGCTATCAGTCTTTTCCTCGTCACAGGGTGCATAGTGCTCACAAAGCATTAAAATCTAAACACTATACCTACTTTTAACTAGAAGGTGGTTTCTACATTTCAGACGATGTCTACTTGCTCATAGTGCTAGCTGCATAATGTCTACAGTGAACCTGTATATGTTTTTGTTCATTTGTTACGCTCGCAGAAGAGGAATAATTTCGTTCTTTGCAGTAGAGAATAACGTAACTCCTAAGTCAACGTATAATTGGATTCCTTTTCAATCAGCACATGCATGAATCGCCTTAACTGAGATCGGATACAGTGGGCTTGTGTGGTACGAAGGAAGGTTGTGGGACAGGAGGATGTGGCAGCTGCACTGTCATGCTATCCTCGTTTGACCCCTCTGAGCAGAAGATCTGTCACTGGGCGGTGTACACGTGCCTCACCCCTGTCTGCGCGGTGCATGGCATGGCAGTGACCACTGTGGAGGGAGTGGGGAGCAGCAGGACAAGAGTTCACCCTGTGCAGGTATGTTCAACTGTCGCTGAAGGGGTCGTTGTCGTATCAGGTACTACAGATATGTACCCGAGGTACGTATATGTGTATACACAAGTGTACCAGACCTGTATCTTCTCAGCACCCCCTGCTCGCGCAGAAAACGCATCTAAGGGGGTCTAATTTCAAAAAATTTCTCGCAAGTTTGGGTTACGGCTAGACCATCCCCTGGTACAAATCCTGTACACGCCCCTGATATCGTAAGGGGGTCCGGACCCCCTGGACACCCCCCCTGTACACGCCCCTGGATATATCACCGCTAGCTGATCGATAATGGCAGACGGTGAGGAAAACCTGAAACCCACATAAGAAATCACATCCCCAGTGACCATGCAGTAATTAAGGCGGGAGATTATCTATTGCTGTCTGTATTAACACGAAGAGAAAGACAAGAAGCTGGACGTGGTGAAAGGGGTACGGTGCAGGAGAATGCGTTGGCGTAGATCAATAGACGTATGAAGTAGAGGAGGTGGACGAGGGCCGGCGCGGAAGCAAATGTTTTCGTTTTTATGCCTGCAGCGTATATCTAGTTTTAGTCTTTAGTCTTTTGGAGTTGGCGTTTCCTCTCACGTTTAGCTGCCTGTCTATTAATTGAGCAATCGGTGTAACCCCTTGGAGACCAGCAATAGTAATGTGTTTCCGAACAGGTTTTGACGTGCCCGGCTTAGTTTATATTATCAGAAGTAGATAATAGGGAATTATTATTTAAATATTATTATTTATATTATTTATTATTTAAATTTCCCTATTATCTACTTCTGATATTATGAACACGGCTACGAGACTGTTCGCACCCATGCTCGACTTAGAGCAACAAATGGCCCCATCGCCCTCATACAACAGCTAGCACATGATGCGCACCAGCTAGAAAAAATTATAATGTAATATAGTATTAGTGGTGCCTGCAACGTCATTGTAGTCTTGTCCTTGTCCTTGCCCGTTTCCTTAGTCTTTGTCCTTGTAGTCAGTCTAACGTCCACGTAGTGGTGCACTCACGTTCTTGGTAAACTCATAGATATACACAAACACGTGTTTGAATATAAATGATGAGGGGGGAGCACACCTCTCAGTCAACGTGCATAGGAAAGCAGCAGTGGGTTTAAAACGAAGTATTCACGGATGACTTTACACTTATTTTTGGTTACATTTAATAAGCTTTAATAATATATTGCCCGTAAAAATTCTACGGGCAGCTGCATAAGGGAATAATAAATAGTAAAATGATAAACAAAGTTTACTCCGCTTCCTTTTCGTCTCGTTATAACTTGCTCTGTTGTGATTGCAGGAGCATTATTATCAGCCATTATGGACATTAGTCGGTGCTGGCATCGTGAACTACAACAAGTCGGTTCGACCTATGGCGGCCGTTCTCCCGAAGCGTGCGACCTGGGTCAAGGACAAGGTCGTTGAGTTCAACCCGAAAAACAACACTGTGACTACTGAAGGTGGGAAACAGGTACGATGTATTATCTACTTGTGTTAACCCACTAATGCACAGTTTATTAGTAGTAGCCCATTTCCTTGAATTTGTCAATATAGGATGTACTACATGCGAGTAGTATACAATATAACACATATATATAGGCCTATAATATAAAGTAATATACAATATGCAAAATCTATGTGAATTCTCTCTCTCTCTCTCTTTCTCTCTCTCTCTCTCTCTCTCTCTCTCTCTCTCTCTCTCTCTCTCTCACTTTCTCT